TTATAAAAGTGTTAAGAATACTTGACAACGAATGTGTAAAATACTTTTTGTAGTTAAGTGGATGGATTGAATAAATTTTTTCCCCAAAACATAAAAAAACTCATAAACGTTAAGAAGCATGGTTGTACTTTTTTATTTTATAACACAGTAGTATGCAAATCTTATTGTTTTTTTCCTTTTATAGCTTAAAACAGAAACACATTTTAATCTAATTTGAAAAGTATGGTATGGTAAAATTAAAAACGAATTTACACAGGATAGTTAATCCTATTTTACCTGCTTTGGCACTTTATTATGCGGATTTAGAGAATTCCTATATAGGGAAGTAGGTATTATCGTAGGTGGCAGGGAAAGACCTAAACCCGAAACCGACTTAATTTTTCTTCAGAGACAAAAAGCACAACCTTTTCAAATCTTTATACATGTAAACATATGTCTGTGTATACGATGACGCAAGCAGTTTTGGTCAGATTTTGGTCGGAAATTTGGTATTACGGTGTAAAGCTGGAAAAACATTATTGAGTTCGCGAACCGACTGGGTGGGGTAATAGGAAAGGAGTGTTATAGGGGTTTGAAATTTTACAACGATTGTGAAATAGTTATTTGTGTAAATAGTGAGCAAAGTGGCACTTTGCTGCACACGAGAGCAACGTTTACGCACGAGCCGCAGGCGAGTGTTACACATTATATTTTTCCTACAGTCAGTATAAAGCATATAAATAATTAGTCTTTCAAACACTATACAACACGGTTTTAGGTTCAGCTGGCAACACAAATGGTGCCCTAGAGAAAGTAGTACCCGCGGTCCGTATCACTCCGCTAATTTTTCCTTGGCAAGCAATGTACTCCGCGACTTGAGAAAATAGTTCCGTATATTTTTGTAATTTGCAGTGATTTTCGCACGAAAAAAATGCCTTAAAGGTATTTTCTTGTTTATTAAGATCGTAAGAATATTTTAAAAACGTTTAAAATAAAAGTCCAGAAATTTCAGATATACCGAAACTATAAACACGAAATGACAGGTTAAATCGTAGTTATAATAGTCAATTAGCTGCTCATAGTATTACTATCTTTAAGTGTTGCCAACCTATTTCCAAGCGTACACAGATTACGTGCATAATAGAACCACACTGTTTTGTGTTGTTTCGTTGGAATCCTGATGTGCGTCAAAGTATAAACCGTACGACAAAGTATAAACCGTACGACAAAGTATAAATATGCAGCAATTAGCAGCTTTCTGTACTATAAACAGTAAAAGGAAGCCAACTTTGTCGGGTGACTGTAGGAAAAAAAAATGTTTTACCCTTAAAAATGCTCAAGTTGTATTATTTCCATCGTTTAGGGCTTTTAGGCACATTCTTTTTCCATATTGAAGCATTGTTGTAGAAATTTAGATATGAAAAAAAAATTATTAATTTTATATAATTTATCAATTCCCATGTTATTCTTATGATATTTTAGGGACCTTTTCCGTTAATTCACTACCACTACTTTTTTATTGTGATTCCGTATATTCACTACCAGAACTTCATTTTCGATGTAGTTATGGTAGTTTATATAATAATTCATTGCCAGAACCTGTAATTAAGTGAAAAATTTGTAAGGGCGTGGTTCGAAATAAATTCTTAGGACCGTAACGCTTACGCCACATTTACTTAGCCAAGTGCTTTCCAGTATTGATCGTTAGGTTAGGTTAGGTTACCATAGTGAACGTAAAAATGATGGGAAATATTACTTGTTTACAGAAATATTTGAGTAAATATCAAAACAGACAAATAATAAACAATTCGCCTGGTCTGCAGGTTTGCTGCAGCGATGTATTTTAACTTAGCTGAGGATATTCAAAGCAGCAATCCTTAGAGACAGGTCCTGAGCTGTTCAAACACGTTGCAATATTCAGATGTTGTAAGGTCAGAACCACCTTATCGTACAATCAGGTCATCATTAATACAAACAGTCTCATTAGCATCAAGGCCTGTCCAGTGCTGTGACTTTTATTTCATACAAAACAAAGGTGGTTCCATAAAATATCACTTGTTTCACATAATAGGGTTTTATTGTCTTATTTAGGTATAAGAGTTGGTCGGTAGGAGATGGATAAAAAATGGTTTCGTTAGGGCACATGCCCAACTTGTAAACAATGAGCTAATCAGGATAATGGCTGCAAGTCAAATACGATAAAAAATTGCAATGCAATCAGATGCAACTTCTATCAAATGTTTATCACGGCAATTCAGACGAATCTACCTTGCCTTGTAACTTATTACTGCAGTAGTAGGGTCTGTTTCCAGAGTAAAATAACCAAGCCTTAAATTAAGCAGCACAAGCAATTGTGCAGTGCACAAACTAGAAGAAATAATTATTATGCATGTGTTACTGTGCACTACAATTGTTTATATATGTTTATAAGATATATTTATATATCATTTTATCAAGAGAAAATAAATCAGTAAATAGTTCCTTTAATTCAGTATTAGTTTTGTGTGATTACTAACTATGTAATACTCTTAATTGGGTTTTTGATCGTAAACGGTAAATGAGTGCATAGATAAAATAGGTTTGGCTTGCAAATCAAATACAGTAAGTAAGTCCATACAATCTTAATAAAAGTGTTTAATAATCAATGGTTTGAGGGGAAAAAACGAAGTTGTGGTATAAACAATCGAATAACATTTTTTAACTTAATTGTATTACACCTTGGAAAAGTCTTATGAAAAATGTGTGATTTTCACACATATGAAACTGTTTAAATGAGATACAGTCCTCAATCCAGTCGGGACATGGTTGGATCGTAATGATGCGATGGACGTAAGTTTAAGGCAAATTCTCTCTTGGTATCCCTATTGTTATTTCTGAATACGCACTTAACAATTCACCATGCAAAGGAACACTTTCAAAGTGTTTAATGAGTATTACTTCAATCGATCAATTGATGCATTTAGTAATTGATTGAGTAATTACTTATATATTGAAAAAAATAGAGATTTACTTATGTTCGCTTACAATATAATCGTAAAAATGCTTCAATTTTATAAATAAAAGAAAAAGATTAAGTTCATTTGTCGTCCATGAGTATTCCTTTACTTTTTAGCATATATCAAGCCTGAGATCTGTCGTTCGTATCAAGACAGTGAGATGTCGTTGTATGCAGCGAAAGTCTCTCTGCAGCTGACTGCTGCAGTGTCACATTTGTCACGTGACTTATGCAGCGCTCTGCTGTGTCAAGGATGAATATAATAGAATGGTTAAATGTCAATTGTAAATTATGCAGTATGACCATCAAGTGATAAACTATAACTTTTGGCGATGTCAAAGATTGCGCTAAAAGGGTGAAAGTACAAATGTAAAGGGATGTAATTTATTAGTACAGAAATACAGTAGTACCTACGCCAGCTAAAAAGAAAATAAAACATACAAAGTAGCATTGCAGTAACAACAGTTATTAACATTATTTTTCAAATGATCACGGTGATAATTTTAGTTTGCATATACTAGCCTATTTTAATTTGGTTAGTAATAAAGCTCTTTAAATCAATTATTATTACCAATTTATACGATTGTACTGATGTAACTTTTAGCATTCATGTTTGGTAATAAATAACTAAGCATCCACCCGTATACTTATTACTTAAGAGAAAAATAAATTAAATCTCGTCTTAAGGATTGAATTCCAACTAGAATTTTGCTTACAATAAAATCAGCAGTGCTATTTACAACATTTGTTATTTTCAAATGCTTTAAGATTGTTTCATATAACATATACCCTATGAGGATTTTAATTTACAGAAGATACTTTAGGAGTTGAGAGATAAAAAGTTGGAGAACAATAGCTAAAGTCAAACTAAAGTCAGTCTTTTAATTTTTTCTAGTTTATTTTTATTATTTCTATTATATCAAATACATATCTTACGTAAGTACAAACTCATCGTCCCTACAACTGGATATACCGCGGATAAAATATAGGCCCAGAATATAGCTCTCACAAGAAAATGTTAAACTCTAGCAAGTAGCAGAATCATAAAACTTTCTCTCTTCTTTCTAATGAGTGATCAAATAATACAACTATGTATTCTCCCGTCTATTTGACAACGAAAAAAACTTGTGAATTTGCTATAACAGTTAGTATGACCTACCCATAAATTCTCACTGAACATGTAGCTTTTGTTTGTTGTGTTCTAAACTTCTAAATGTTATTTCATAATATATTTGTGAAAGTAAGCAGACAAGTGTCACAGATTAACGAGTGAGGCTTTGTCGAGTAATGGACCGTTCCTCTTCCAATCATCCATCATCACAATTGTTTTCTTCAGAACACCTAGACGTTTGATATTGTAGCCACATTCACCAAAATTATACTTATAAGGGCGAGTGTTCTCTAGTTTAAATATAACCAATTAGCAATGTTTATTTTTAACATTTTTAACTTGCATGGTGGAAGTGTAGTTGTTGACAATCTTTCACATATTAAGATAAACATTCTGTGAACTTTGCGACGCAAAATTCTAGGGGGGGAATAAACTAGTATTCACCAAGTCAGGCTAGGCCTACCCCTAGAACCGGCCACACTCAAATTTCTTCCCCGGAGTGCTCAGAAGGAGCCGAGAAAAATCCAGGGGTCGATACGAAGTTGTCACGACTTTGACTGATCAATTTATTTAAATTTCAGTAATGATCGAGACTTCGAAGCAGGCGGACGTTCGGTGGGCCGGTCCCTTATCTTTAGAGATAACATAGTGCAGTGGTTTTATTCAAGTTTTAAATTGAATTTAGTATCTTCTATAAAAGTTATTTTGTTAAGGAAATTAATAAAAATGAGTAAGTGTAACGTTTGTTTAAAATCAGTGTCCGGTAGAAAAGCCAAGATCCAATGCCAAGACTGCAAACAGATGTTTCATGGTAGTTGTGTTAATTTAGCGGATAGTGATGTTGAGTTTTATTTACAAGAAGGTGAAGTCTGGAGATGTTCACCATGTTCTCAAAATCGTCGAAAGAGTATGCGAATGGAATCAGAACTAGCTAAAAGTGACCCTAGTATAAAGGATGTTCTAGAACTCCTGCGTGAAATGCGCGAAGAAAACAATCAGCGAATAACAGAGTTGGAGAGGGACATAGGTAAATCAGTTGAATCAGGACATGAGAAAATAGAGGAGCTAACAAAAGTGGTAAAGGAACAATCGGAAGCTTTAAAAAACTTTGATAATATGTATAGTGTAGTGTGTCAAGAAAACTTAAAGTTAAAAGAAAAAGTGAATACCCTAGAACAACGACTTGAAGATATGGAACAATATAGTCGGTTAAACTGTGTCGAAATAAATAACATACCGGAAACTAAAGACGAAGATGTGCTGGAAATAGTTAAGAAAGTAGGATCTAGTCTTGACTTCATGATTACAGACGAAATGGTAGATGCATGCCATAGAGTTGGACAAAAATCAAACAAGCGCACCAGAGGAATAATAGTGAAATTTACTAGAAGAATGACTAAGGACGAAATTCTGAAGAGACGTAGGAAGAAACAAGACCTGAGCACAAGGGACGTTGGATATAATGACACACCGAAGGAAACTGTTTATCTCAACGAAAACCTAACATCGTACAGGCGGAAAGTGTTAAATGCAGCAAAAGATCTAAAGAAGGAAATGGGCTTCAAATATCTTTGGGTTCGCAACGGAAAAATCCTACTTCGTAAGAAAGACAATGAAAATGTTATCGTTCTCACGACACTGGTACAAGTGACGGAATTGGAGGACAATAAGACAACCACAACCGAAGATGACATCCAGGAGACTGCATAGAGCCTCTAGACTACTAGAGCTTCAAATACCTCATTGTGGTATTTTTATGTTTATTTCAATATTTAAAATTAATTACTTTGTTTTGCAGTGTAATGTTAGTGAGTGTTATTTTTTTTTTATTTGAACATTTATGCCAGTCATAAACATAAAGAAAGAGTGTCTTAATTTTGATAACAAAATATTTGCAGACTATTCAGGTAATTTGATTATTGTACAACAAAACATTCGAAGTATGAGAAGCAACTTTGATATATTTGCTTTGAGTTTAGAAAGCCTAGACACATTCCCCGATATAATTATCTTATCTGAGATATGGATATTGGATAATGAACAAAATCAATACAGTCTACCAAATTATAATCTTTTTACAAAATGTAATAATAGTTATCGGTCGGGAGGAGTTGCGGTATTAGGCCCGGCGCATATTGAGACGCAGTCGGAGCAGCGCAGCGTAGTGCAGCGCAGGGCAGTGTTTTGTAAAACATTTATTTGCTAGGACACGCGCATATTATGGCGCAGCGCAGGGCAGGGCAGTGCAGTCCCGCACGTGGACTGCGCGCACTTGTGGTCGAGTCACAAGTGTCTGTGCCGCATTGCTCACCTGCGCCGGGTTGACTAGTGTTTTGTGACGGATCTAGAGGATAATTAATAGAAATTGTGCGTTTTTAACCATTTTTTACGTTACCATTCATAGTAAGTATATAAAGAGTAATTACAGGAATGAAATCTGGGAGAAAAAACAAAAATCACTAGACATTGCAAATTTTTCGCCCTTTCTTTCTTGTTCTCTGGTGAAGAAGTAACAATAAATCTAAATCAGCACCTGAATCTGACTCAGAACTCAAATCCTAATATTTAACAACATGTTCACACAAGAAACTGTATCACTCCTACACGAAAACTGTACGGCACTGCTTCCCAATATGCGATGTCAACTGTGCAACACAGACTGTTTGCCCAATCTGCCCTGTGCTGTGCTGCACTGCCCGGACCGTGCCGCACAGCTCAATATGCGCCTGGGCTTAGTGTCAGACCGTCTAGCATGTCACGTGATTCCTGACCTTGACTTTGAAACAGCTGACTGCTTACATTTATCAATAATCGTTTCCCACAAATTTACACTCGATGTGTTAGCAATTTATCGATTACAAGATTTTGTAGTAGATAGATTTGTAAATGAACTTGAATCTTGTTTGTCATCAATTAAAAATAATAATTTAGTTATAAGTGGTGACCTAAATATAAATATACTTGAGAGAAATCGACTTAACGGTGATTATTTGATTACGATAGCTAGTTATGGTTTACTTTCATTAATATCTGATCCAACTAGGGTAACTGAAAATTCTGATTCGTGTATTGATCACATATTTTTTAGAAGTGAAAGAAAACTAAATATTAAATGTGCAAGTTTTGTTATTGATACGGGAATAACTGATCACAGGATGACAGCTACTTGTATGAAGGTCAATTTACCTACACGTAAAGCAAATTTAGTTTCACAGAAAGAAGAAATTGATTTCAATAAATTGGCATTAAAACTACAAAGTGTCTCATGGGATTCAGTTTATTTAGCCGAAAACGTTTCACTAGCATTTAGTTTATTTATGAGTATTTTTAAGCAGTGTATAAATGAGTCATATGTTACTAAGAGAATAAGTAGAAATAAGAATGATAAGTTTAAACCCTGGATCAATACTAGACTCTTAAAAATTATAAATAGGAAAAATAAGATGCATATTCAATGTAAAAAACAGCCACATGATGTAGAGCTTAAGAATAATTATAATGTTTTTAAAAATTATGTAATAAACCAAGTAAGATTAACAAAGAATGAGTACTACAGCAAAATATTAGTCGAAAATAATCAAAATCCTAAGAAACAATGGAACACAATCAAAACCCTTATTGGAGAAAATAAGAAAGATGCAGAACTTATTGTATTGAAAGGTGACGATAAAGAGTTAATTACAAGCCCTGAAGCAGTTGCAAATAAATTAAACAGATTCTTCTGTTCTATAGCAACGGAGTTGAGAGAAAGTATTATATTAGAACAACAGATAGTTCCCCAGCTAGTAAACGAATATAAACCCATGTTTCAGACAACTACATGTAACAATTCAATATTTTTCTATCCAACCTGCGAAAACGAGGTTATTGGCATAATCAAATCGCTTAAAAACAGGATAGCACCAGGATATGATAATATTACTCCTTTCATTATTAAGAAAATTTCTACTTATATTGTTGAGGTTCTTGTTTTTTTAATAAATTTTAGTTTATATTCAGGTGAATTTCCCAATGATTTAAAAACAGCTATTGTAAAACCGTTATTCAAAAAGGGTGTTAAAACAGATCCAAGCAATTACAGACCAATTGCTCTTTTATCTATATTCTCTAAAATGTTTGAGAAAATAGTTAAGACTAGACTAATAAATTTTTTAGAAAAGTACAAATATTTTAGTGATGGGCAGTTTGGGTTCAGGAAAAAACTAAGCACTAATTCGGCGTTATTACATTTTATGAGTCAAGTGTATAGAGGTTTAAATGAAGGTAAATATTGTGCTGGCATTTTTGTCGACGTCATGAAAGCTTTTGATTCTGTAGATCATGGTATTTTGTTGGATAGACTTCATGAAGCTGGGATAAGAGGTGTGCCTCATAAATGGTTTGCTTCTTATCTCACTGGACGTACTCAACGTACACTGGCGAACGGCGTGATTAGTGACCAAGGAACTGTATTACATGGCATTCCACAGGGATCTGTTCTATCTGGCCCTCTTTTTCTAATATACGTAAATAGCTTGTGTAATAGCCGTTTTAGAGGAAATTTAGTGGCTTTTGCGGATGACACTGCATTATTTTACAAATCAGATTCCATTGAAACTTTAAAATTAAATATTCAATACGATGTAAATGCTCTTCGATGGTGGTTTACCAACAACTTCATGGTAATGAGCCCAAAAACTAAATATGTAATTTTTAATCTATCAAGGAACATAAGTTTTATTACTCCGATAAAATACCACCAAACAAACTGCCAATCTACAAATTGTGATTGTCCTGTTGTTGAGCAGGTAGAGGAAATTAAATATCTGGGATTACACTTAGACTCAAAGATAAATTGGAAACGCCATATAGATTATGTTAAGAATAAACTAACACAATACGTCAGGATATTTTATATGTTAAAAAATATGTGTAATCAACGCCTACTCAGAAATATTTATTATGCGATGATAAATTCTAAATTGGAGTATGGTTTAGCTATCTATGGAGGAGCTTACTTTTCGTCAATTAAGCCATTAATTGTCTTGCAAAAAACCTTTATAAGGATAATTAGTAACAAATGTAGAACAGAACATGCAGCACCACTATTTAAAAAGTTAGAAATTTTGCCTTTGAGAAATCTATATATGTATAAAGTTTTACGAATATTTTATAAAAGAAGTGGAGATGAGGTTGAAACTATGTCTGAAAGGAGAATAACATTAAGAAATAGATATAATGCAATAGTTCCAAAACCAAATTTAACAGCTTTCAAGAAATTTTATTTATACCTTGCACCTAAAATGTTTAATGCTCTACCATCCAATCTCAAAACCATCTCAGAAGCAGATTTTTCTAGGCAGCTGTGGCCTTATTTATTATGTTTGGAAAATGCTGAAATGTACTTTTATGGAATTTAGTATATATACAGTAGTATAGAAGTGACTAATATAGATAATAAGTAATATAAATACCTACTCTGTTGTATCATTTTTGTTTGTAAGTGTATTGACTTTTACTCTGTGCTGAAGAAGATCACTGTGTAGAACTCACTCTCACTGTATAATATATATAACCAAGTGATATAAGTGACCGGGCAAAACCGCCTCTTCGATTTTTAGAACATAAGATAGTGTATAAATCCACCAACATAGGTTTTTAACCTAAGGTGGTTATTGTTTTTTTCTTTTTTTCATGTGTAAATGTATTTTGTGTTGTGTATGGAAAAAACAATAAAGATTTCAAAAAAAAAAAAAAATTTAATCGAAGGCTCAGAGCTCTAGAAGCGCTCAGGAAATCCTGCAGACGCCCAGTTGGAGCTATATCATCCCAGCCTTCGTAAAAGTGCTTTGGAGAATTTTGCCTAACCTTTGGAATGACTCTGTAGGGCCGACGAGTATTCAATCTTAAGCCAATGTGATTTAAATACTCGTAATAAACTGTAAACTAATTGGCTAAGGACGTTGGTAAATAATATAATATCGAATATAATGTAAAAGAGCAATTCCTACAGAGTCGTCGGGGCCTAATTAATATAATTGAATGGAGAATTTATCGTGGGATGATTTAAAATAGATTTAATATTAATATTCGTGACTGTTTGATTGTTCAAATCAGCCTACTCCCAAGACTAGGTTCTCTCGCCCGCCAAGGACGGGGTTTAGAACGCAGACGACAAGTCTCGGGGCATTAAAACGGCGAACTAATTAGAATAAACGTACGTAATAATCATTCGTAGAAATCGTAATTTTGAAACTAATTGGTTTAAATCAAACCAAACGATAATCACCGCTAGTCACTGGCAAGCAGGAACTGGCGGGTCGAGAATCAAGTTGGCGAAATTTACGTTATTAAATTTAGTTATTGAAAATCGAATTTGGAAACGGGAATGCAAATGTTAAACGGAAATTTAAACGTAAATCGTAGCAATGTGAATAACTAATATAGCTAACCTTCGGTAAACAAATTATCGATGATCGTGCAAGCGTTGATACCAGGCGAATGTAACGACGAAGTTACTTCGAAGACGGCGTACGAACGAATAATCCTGTCTTGGAGTAAAATCCTTCGTTCCTGCCCGCTCGAGGCTTACGCGCTCAAGCGGCGAACTCAAGTGCTACTAGATAACAACTGATCGAATTCACTTGTTGAGCTGGTCTAGTTTCGTCTGTCGTCTGCCAACAAATAAACACCAGTTTGGGGTTATGTCGTCGTCGGCGTTAAATACCTGT